GGCTCGAGGCCACGAACCGAAGTCCTGTCAGCGATCTGCGAGAGCGTGAGGCGCGTTGGCTCGTCCCTGTGCTCATCCCTGGAGAGCCACGCTGGGCTAGGGCCGAGCCCAAAAAGGCAAATTGGGCTGATGCTCTTAATAAAAAGAAGTTAAAGCCATCCCAAACCAAGTATTTTGGAAGCAAAGATAATAAGAAAGGGTGAAATTCAAAACAAGGTACACACAGGTATCATGTTGTGCCAGCTAAAGCGGGAGAAATAACTAGTTAGTACAGTTTCAGGGAACTAAAAGTGTTCAGAGATGAACTAAAACAAAGGGCTACAACTCCTCTGAGAAGTTACGTGAACTTAAAAATAAAACTCAAGAATGCATTTGTATTTGTAATTCACTTTAATGATACAAACCTCATTTAGGTAGTAGTATTAAGCCACAACAATATAGTGCCACATTTAAACAGCATTTAATAAAATGCAGAAGCTAAACCATGCACTGCAATACTCTATATACAAACACAACAATGCAAATTCCTCTTCATGACTGAAGACATTGATTAGATATAAAATTGAGACTAAAAAAAGAACATGCTATTATTTTTAAATGCTATCACACATAACAATGCTGATTTCACAAAAGCTTGCAAGGTTTTAAACTTGAAATTAAAATATAATAACATAAACAACAGTTTTCTAAATTATAATGAACAGAGGCTTCCAGAAACTATCCCAAGGAATTAAAAATGTAGATGATTCCTTTTATAAAAAATTGCAACTTTTGTAGGAGCTAAGAACTCTCTGGTATGCCAAATAGATACGACACTTATGCAATGTGCAGTTTTTCAGTTATGAAACTGTTTGAACACTGGCTTGCAATGTATTTTGGAGTACAGATTAATTAATAAAAATAATCCCACACTTAATGTTAATTCCATGTATGAGAAATTTAACATATAGGTTCTGTAAGTAACATGTTTTCTTCTTAAAGAATGTCCTTTTTATTTGAAATTTATTCAGTCTTACTTTTAACCCACAATCATTGAAGATATTTTTAAAATAGCCTTGTTATCATTTATTTAAGATCATTTAAAAAATGTACAAGAAGCCAGTTATCCAGGGGTGCAGACACCTGGCAGTAGGTGTGCTTCTCAAACTTTTGCTTTCTGTGGTCAAATACAGAAACCTGATTTCACATTCCACAGTTTCCATAGAATATTACATCAGAGCATTTATTGCCATTTATTGAGTGCATTTTGTACTTCAGAATACAAACAATTCAAATGTGTATATAAAACAAGTTCACAATTTTTAGATATGCTTTTTTCTTAATTCACAATTGAATTTTTAAACAGATTCAATCTTGATCAATACCCAAGTTAGCTTCCTAATCTTTAAAAATGTTACTGCAGTACAATGATGCTAATAGGTATTCAGGTTTCCATTCAGCCTTTAAAGAGGAAAGCAAACATTATTCAAACAGGACTGATTGTCAAGACACCAATGAAGGACCATCTGTCACAGGAATTCCTGCTATTAATTTAAATAATTTTCCTGCTGGAAATCTCAAATGTTAAAATGTATGTTTTACCATTTTTTCTATATCTGAAACAAAAGCTTACAAACACTTACTAAACAATGTACTGAAAACCAGCAAACATTCCTAGCCTTTTCCATAGCAAAGACTTACAAACAGAGGGCCCAACTCTGAAAGAGACTTGTGTTTTACTTTAAGCATGCAAGAAGCTCATGTTATTTTAACTGGTGTCTGCTTATCTGCTTAAACATACACAAGTCTTTGCCACATTTAGTACAAAAGGTGGAAATAAATGCCCAGAAAATTCAATTTCACCTTTTTAATATGACAGAAAATAGACTTGCTGAACTACTCCCCTACACGGTCTGTGAAATGCTTTCTTAAAAAAAAAAATAAAAAAAAAATAATAAAAAAATCAAAGTTAATAGAATTACTTTTACAGAAGGCTTCATTACTGAAGTCAACACAAGGGAAAAGGAACAAGAACTACTTATATTTTGATAATTTAAATGTTTTAATACTCCCTGTAAGTAATACATCATCTTACTGCAAGTCTAATTTCATAAATGCTCCATATGCCCAGGTCCCATGTGAACGGTGGAAACTTCACACAGACAGTGCAAGATCTGCACCGATTAATTTTGGGAAAGGACAGAATCTGAAAATGGACATCAGTCTGACAACTAAATGAACTAACCAGCTTTGTTTAGTTTAAACTGGACAATAAAGATAACATTGGAAAGTGAATATACAATTTAAATGCATTGTGAAAATCCTAAATAATTCTTGATGCTTGCTAAAAAATAAACTAACAGCCATCTCCCCCTTATTTAATTACCACTGTAACAGAAATGTTGCTTCATTGAACAGAGGACAGAGTCTTTGTTTAACTCACAGTTTGGTTTCATGTTATCATAATGGCAATATGAGTATTGATTTTTTTAAAACAGCATCCATTGCATCCTATTCTGTGTGCTACAGTTCAATGATAAAGGACAACTCATTTCTCTTCCAATTAGCCACTACTGAAGACTTAAAAAAAATAAAAAAAAAAATAAAAATCAATCTCTTGCCAAGTTTCACTGCAAAATAAAACTTTACAAAAACATCTCTCAGAAGGCTGAAGGAGAGTGAGTATATACTGAAAACAGCTAAGTATTTTCTATGACTGTAGTTATTTATATATTCATTTATTTTTAACAGACATTATATGTTCAATTAACTATTCACTGGCAGACTTCTACATGTCAAATGAGAAAAGGTAAAGGGAGTAATGTAAAAGCCAGAAAATTCATGGAATATATCTGTCAGTTCTGAACAGAAAATACTAAATTCAGGCTGGGTTTAGAAAAAGGTGCAAAGCTCTGAAATTCATGGAGATTCACCTGCTTAAGCAAGGCTTACTTTGGGCTATGAAACAAAATCCAGGAAGCTCTGGATTAGCAAATTAATGAAAAAGCTTTAACACATAGAACAGTATGAATACATGGCTACATATCTGTACATATATACATACACTACACACTTCCTATACACTGTACATAATATATTTAGACAGGTATAAACATACATTCATACACACATACATACAACTATGTACATATGCATTAGCTGCTCGAGTGAGTTTTAGAATTGAACACGCAGAAATGCACAATGGTGGGAGGCACAAAATAAAGATTTATAAAAATCTATCAAACCTTTTAAAAAGAAGGAAGACAGCCATGAATTTAACAATAATAAGTCATTTTCAAAGCATTCATGTAACTCAGAGTGATGTCAGGATACTAAAGGATAAAGTTTTAGTCCACAGAAAAATTGTTAAAGATTCATTATTTAAACAGTGTACCTTTGTCTGATAGGTAGGATGTAGCCACCAAAAGCAGAAGTGGAACTGATCAATTCCTAAGTCAGTTAGCCAGCCCTGTAGAACTACTTCAACTTGCCAAAAGACTGTGACCTTAAAGGAAAGTTAATTCTGGCAGAGGGAGATTGAGACCTCTGACTCATGGAGCCTCCACACAATTCATACCACCAACTTCTAAGTAGTAGGCAAGGTAACAGGACTGAGCATGCATACTCTGCTTTTTCTCTTCTGGGCAAAAGTAGATTAAAAAGAACCAACCCACCCTGCTTGTGCACTCTAAAGAGTAACTGAAGGAGAGGAGAGGGATTCCAAATAGAAAAACAACATTTATTTTTTTTTTTTTTTTCTTTTCAGGATGATATCCTGTAGGTATTTGTTGGTGCACCTATACATGTCTGATTGACCTGCCAGTTCTACTGCTCACACCACCCAATTCAAACAGGGCCCCTGACACCATTATTGCAGAAAGCTCTTTGATCACTGCTTCTTTGGCAGTATCCTCAGCCTGATAATTTCCAGATCCCTTTTCCTGCCTAAACTGTATTCCTGATACCCTTACTACTCATGCTATTTGGTGCTTTTTAAAATTATCCCTTACTTATTAAACAGCAGGTAATCAGGGAAGAATCCTAACTACCCTCTTAATTTTAATAGTCAGGAAAATGCACTATCTATCTTCAGCATCTTGGATGAAATAATTCAGTCTTGTGTACGATACACAACAATGAAAACAAAGTGTTTTACAGTGTCTGCCAAAGAAGAAACTCAGTCAGGAAACTGGTTTCATCTAGAAGCTTCAGCCCTGACACTTCAGCCCTTTCACACCTCAGAATATGCCCTTTGCCAAAGGATACGATAATGATAATGCAGAGCCAGCTGTACTCAGCAACAGTAAGTTACTTGAGTAAGTGCTGTTCAGGCTGCCCTGAGGGCCAAGTCCTTCAGATGATGGCAAAACGAGACTTGGTAAATGATACCAAGTAATCAATGGTGACCAACAATAGTTTCTTGTCTCAAGAGTGCTCTAAAACCTAAGCCTCCTTAATAATCTAACATGTTAAGGCAGCTTAAATAAAGGCTTGAAGGATCTCTCCTTGGAAATTGTTTTTTTCTTTTCTACCAGTTTCATGCCAGAGTAACTCCATTGGCACCAAAAGCACTCTATGTAATTTACAAGCAAATTAAGGGAAGAAAAGTAGTATACCTTCTTGACCTTGTCACAAAAGCAATAAAAATCATTATTACAAAGCTAACTCAAAATGCTCCTACAAAATTACTGATCATTGTTCTTTTCATCTACAAGACTCAAATCCAGTTCCTTCTCAAAAAAGTTGCAAAACAAATGAAGCATATGGAAAATGGACATTATTGCCTCATTATCACTCCCTGCATGCCCCAGTTGCAGTCAGCACAAAATTCTAACATTTGTCTGCATTACCAATACACACATGTATGTACTCAAATTCAGATAGATCTAATCAGATAGTTTTTCACTATATTTCTACCAAGTTAAAATATTTTCAAAAGTAGCAGAAACAGGACCTAGAAAATTCTGGAAGGAGTGAACTGTAGGCACTAAGGACAGCTTCAGTGAGATTTCACTTTTCTTAGAATCACTTTCAGAGTGTGATCCTTTGACTCCTAGTTCTGTCGACACAAGTTTGGCATTGAAATTTGGCCGTTATGAAAACAAGCTATTTCCATATGTAAAATAAAAAAAAATAAAGTTTTTCAACAATTGTTACAACAATTGTCTTCTGTCCTGTATTTGTAAGCAGTTTTCACTTGCAAAGAAGAAACAAAACAAAACTGCATGCACAATAAATAAACTCTAGATATTGCATTGTTGTTACTTCATTTACACTAATTAATATTTTATCTCTAGAGTCCAGTGAACTATTTGCAAAGTGACTACCAGAGATGGATCAAGGATAGCATGATGTGGCCTTGCATTTTTAGGGACTGTAGTCTATTTGTAAACAGAGCTGCTTATTTACCATTTTGTTTTACAAATGTAATATAATACATACATTTTAAGTTCTATTTCATGCGATCTCTCTGTTACCAAAAAGCTATAGTGGCTTTATTTTGTTTCCTGAACTGTTATGGTCACAGCACAAGTAAGAAAAATTAGGAAAATATATTTTTTGCACCAAAAATGGGGCCCTTTTACTTGAAAAACTGGAAGTTGAAATGATGTTTGTCATGAAAAAGCCAACTGGTGTGTATTCAAATTTGTGAAAAAATATTCCAATGGCTAGTTTTTGTGCTAAGGAATATTTCATTTGTCATTAACTGCATACTTATCTGCTTAAATGATTTTTACAAAATACTGAAAGCAAATTAAACGGCATAATCTTTTTTGCAATGAAAAATATCACAGTAGTTCAATGCAAACTGATTTTAGAACAACAATGGCATAACCCAATAAAATTTTCATTTTTAACAAAAATGGCTGTAACTCTTTCTAAGGTAGCTACTTCTTCTGATGTGAATATCACCATTATTTTTTAAGCTGTATACCCTTAAAACAGGGACTTTGCATCATAAGTGCTGATACAATCACACAAGTAGTTACACTGTAGTAAAACAGCTAGTACAAAATTCTGCATCCCAGTTGACTTAAAATACCGAGTGGAGATCTTCCATCACAATAAAAATATGAGAATTTCATTTGCTATAGCAAAAGCTGAGGAAAATGAAAGTGCAATATTACAAATCTCTGCATGCATGTTACAGAATCACATGTTGGACTCTGTTACACCCTTCTGAGAAAAGATGATTCTGAATGCGGTAACAATGGCAACTGTAGGAAGACTTGAATGCACCCAGAAGCTAAAATTAAATAGCCTCCATGTCACAATGAGTGCTACAAATGTGAGCCTCCTAATGAGTATGAAGTATACCAAGTCAAGGCTTTTTATTACATCAAAAGCTTCATCTAGAGCTGCTTAAGGACTTTTGGCTACAATTCAGACCCTTAAAAGACAAACACCAACATAGTTGGTGTTTCTAAATAAATGTCAATAACAAGAAAAACAGAAGTGCTGAACTTAGATTATTGTCTCATAAAAATACACAAGTATAAAATGCTTGTAACATATAAATAATTAAAATATTTAATGCATCTAATGAGCCAGGATCTGATGAAGGTATTAATTGCCATGACCTTTTTTTAAACTTTTGATTGTTTAAAGTATTTAGTGTCAATAATATACTAAAATGAAAGCAATGGTAGTAGCTCATGGCCAATACTAGAAAACATGTTGATGACTCATCACTCTAGACAAAATTAAAAAGTAGTTAATTTTATAACTCCATGGTATATCAGTCATTAACTGCAATTGTACATGACAATGTAAATCCTAACTATATTTCGGTTTCAGACTAAGTCACAGGAAGGTTGAGAGCATTGCAAAACTGGGAGTGCTCAGTCAGGGATGAAAAGGGAGTCGGGGAGTGATAAAGTAAGAGATCTTTGTAATACACTCTTGCTGACAGCCAGAAGTTCTACGTATTTCAGGTTTTGAATTTTACCTTTGCTTGGATGATGAGGGTTTTTAGGAGTACAGGAAGGAGTAAATTTGGAAATACAAAGAGCATACTCAAAGAGCATCACACAGCTCTACTTGAAAATGACTGTTCTTCCAGTTAATGACCGATTTTCACCACAATCAGAAGGCTTCCTGCAAGAATAACATTTGTCATGACTGTGTTGGTCTGAATAGAAACTTTAAGGAACCTGACCATTTCATCATTACTGTGTCAACAAACACTTTCTTTTCCTCCTAGTCTGTGTAATTCCTGCAGCACATAATAGTCACTATGACTGCACCATACTGTGAATTACAACTGCGCCAATTTAACATATAGTTTCACATAATGTGGACATCTGATTTAAGAATCCACATTAATATTTCATGCATGATATAAGAACAAGTGACTTTTTGTAGAACGAATGATTGTCTCCTGTAGCATTCTACATTTTCACAGAAATCACTAGCATTTTGATTAAGGAAATATGCAATTTTTTTCATTTTCCATAAGCAGGATGTTGATGACATTGTCGTTTTGACAAGAAGTGCTTACAAAGTGCTAGTATTATACCCTGGCAGTTATTAGATATTAATTCCAAGGATAATTTTAAATATATACATACTGTTCTTTTGACTTTTAAAGTAATTTTATTACTAATATCTGATATTATAAAACTCTATTTTTAACCACCGATAAGTTCTAAATACAAAGTATATGAAAAGTTTGTTCAGTAATCTATAGCCTTTAAAATGAAAGGCATTGAAAATATTCCTTGTGGCAGAAAAGGTCCTATAACAGGTCTTTTAATAGCTGCTTAAATTTTGTCAATGTCAGCAAACAGACAAGGAGAAGTCTGACAGGGAACTCATAACAAATTGGAAATATTTGTACATACCAAAATGCTATTCTTTTAACTTTGTAATTGTATGATTTTAGAAAATTACTTCAATCCATAAAATTGTGTTATTCCCACTACGCAGACGTGCCAGTTATTTGACCATTATATTCTGCTGTTTCCATTTTGAGAATGTAGGGGATTATGCTGTCAATGGGAACATTTCCAATGAGACCAGTAAAAAAAAGTTCCTCGGTAATGCTAGAGCTCATCAGCCTAAGTGCTGGCAGGCGAACTAGAATCCGGGCTAGCCTGAAAAAGAAGTTCAGTGATTATAAATACATATAATACCAGTTTAAAATACTTCGTGGCTAAAGAGCAGGATCTGCTTTTATTATGACCATAACTCATGAATGGGAGTAAAGAGGCAATTAAAGCTAACTAAGCTACCATAAAAAGAATGGTTACTTTTCTATCCTGCAAGTGAAATTAAAAGCCACTATCTTTCTTTGTGGTTTTCCAATGAAAGGACATATTAATGCCCTTTGTAGATACAACGCGTATATACAAACACACAGTTCTCCTCATCTGCTTTTGTAATTCCCAGCTCTGGAAGTGCTCCATAGTTCTGGATAATGCTGAGACTAACAGCATTCATACTGACTAGTGAGAACATCTGCACAATTTTAAGAGTAAAATGCTTAATTAAAACTTAACCATAAACAGCACAGTCCTCAGTTGTCTAGCAACCTAATTACAAACCAGATAGCAAGAATGGAACTGATCTGTGAAAAGGGAAATGATAATCTGCTTCTGATACGAAAAGGAATTTGTAGGGACGTGCTGTTACTCATACACAATGCCAAATGCTGTGGTGTTTTATGTACCAGGATGTTAACAGACATTCAATCTAATGAAGTGATTGTATTGAATTTCTGGACTTTCAATGCATTTGAAATCTAGGATGAAAGCATATCTGCTGTGTTTATATGGTAGATGTACACCACAAATACAAAAACAAATAAACTTCCTGAACCAGAGCCATGTAATAGCAAACCTCAGGCAGCACTGAACACAGGCCTCTTGAAAATGCTTGAAAATCTATGGAGAGAATATATACGGTCCATTCTGCTAATATACCATATCTCATAATTGCAAAAAGATCCAATGCTGCTGTTTTTGTGACAATTATAACACTTGTGCTTCTATCTCAATTTGTGCCAGCATTCAGTTTCTCAGAAATAATCAGATTTTACTCTAAACTTATCTATGGGTGAGCATGGGGATACAGATAATATTAAAATACAGGACATTGTTTGGGAAATTGTAACTCTCTGACTTTCTTCCTTAAGCCTCTAGTAAGAGAAGTAAATATATGGAACAAGTAATTATATTTCTTTTTGTCCAGCTCTCACACATGAAACCAGAATAACTGAATTGCACACAGAAGAAGAATGTGGGATTTGAAGATATTTCTGAAGTAGAGAATCTTATCTTTACTGTACCTAACTGGGACTCCTGATGCCCCTTCTGTTGCCCCACACAATGTTAACTCTGTAAGATCAGTGCAGAAACCAGTTTCTGAGATGGGAGAAGCTCTCTGTTTACAGGTGGGGGTTTTTTGTTGTTGTTTTGGGGTTTTTTTGAAGTTACACTCCCCTCAGACCTTGCTTAAATGTATGGGATTGCATACTTCTTTACATGAGGATACCTTTCACAGTAAGAGAGAGTATGTTCTAGGATATACTGCTAGACAGAAGTTAGAATTTCCCTTGTAGTGCAGAGAATCATTATGTTGATGAAGTTTAAAATAGTTTTGATGGAGATTATTAGAAAATAGGATAATTATTTCTAGCAAGTAAGAAACAGGAACAGCTGAGAGATGAAAAGACAAGTCAGATACTTCCAAAGATAGGTCCTTCAAAATATATTAAAAAAAAAAAAGAAAATAAGTAGGACTTACGAGTGTGAATTTCTCATAAACAGAAGCTTAAGAGTTGGTTACTGTTCCCCACGTGTAATCCTTATTGTTCCAAGGTTTATAAACTGACAGTTTTAATACTTCTCTGCATATGTAACTTGATAAATATTTAAAGGATGATAATCACCGTTTATTATTTCAAAGCCTCTTTGACAACTAACTTGAAAAAGGAGGCAGTTTGAATTAAAGAAGTTGAGGCAATCGAGGCAGTTATTCTTAAGACTTCTAATAAAGTAAGTCTGTTTGCTTGTCTAAACATGGCAATGAGACTCTCAAAAAAAGAACTCAAAAAAAAACAACTCTAATTTACGTGGAAGAAGCTAGACAGCTATTCTTCTGTCTACTTATCTTTAAACAAACTAGCTTGCTTTTATGAACAAAGTTCTAGTTCTGTCTCATCAACAGTTAAAAAAGAACAGATGTCAAAAAGGAAATTTTTACATCAATTATGTTATTTTGTACTACAGCCCACAACATTACTTTGGGTACTATAGACAATAAATACCTATAAGTATCTTCTGGATAGGTTTTTTGTACATAGTCCTGCAATTCCATCTGTGCCTTCTCCTGGAATTTTTCTATTTGAGTTGAACTGGTCAGACCAGGGTGATCTAAAGAAACAAAACATTTCTGTATGTCGATTGTTTCCCTAAACATTTTGAAATATATGTAGTTACAAGACTCTCGCATTTAATTTCATTTAAATATTTATTTTGTATTGGGATGTTTAACATGTTAGCTCTATAAAGGAAACCACTCAATTGAACATTTGCTTCCTGGCTTCAGAATTAGCTTGCTCACTTTTCTCTCTATAGCTGTATGTATCCAGAAGAAAGTGGAAAAAGGTTAAGCCAGTAGGTACGTACTTGGCAACGACACTCCTAGTTTATGTTTCTAACCTTGCTTTTTTAACTGTGTTTGCCTCTGTGATTTCGACTTAACTGTGCTGACTGAGCAGTATTTAGGCTTATTTTCTTGACAGATCACTTTCTTGACCTCCCTGACTCTGTCTCATGTTTTAATTCCAGCTGGCTCAGCTCCTCAAAGACAGTCACATGATCAGAAAAAAAAAAATAAAAAAAGAAAATACCACATATCTGACTATGCCCAAATATCTTCAGTGTTGTGTTCCACATGCTAGTCCCTTGAAACAGGATAGATCTAGCTTGAGTTTGGAGAGTTTCTTGCTCCTCCAACTTGAATAAAAACCCTAATAAACCTAACCCTAATAGTAAAATCTGCAAAAAAAAAAAAAAAAAAAAAAAAATTCAGAAGCAAATATTGCGACATCAATATCGTCTAATTAATGTAAGTTTTATTACAAAGAGAAATATATCAAAGCAAAAAAAACCCAAACCAAAACAAAACCAAAAACCCCAAACCCCCAATAATGAGATTCCTTTTTTTTGTATTTCGTTAAAGTGGTACACACCTTCAAATTAAAGTAAATAATCTACATTTCTGAGCAAGTGTTGCCCTTTCACTCAGCCTGTCTGCAGGGTTATTAGCCTTTTTGTGTTCCTAGGAACATTTCTCCACCTTTGCTGAAGAGACTGTCACTTCCCATTTTTTTTTAATGTCCTTACCTTATAATTCCAGAAAATCTTAAGTGTCTTCTTTGAGTAAATCCTCCTATCTCAAACACTGTAGATCATGCTTTAAGTTGTCTGCTGTCATTTTTTTTGGTAACAAATGGAATGCAGCCTGTTTACATTTATTTTTTGAGATTCTGTGGAAGTCCCATATAAAATACAGTGGTATTTCTGCTCATATTTCAGCGGTCCCTCTTAGGAGTTTATTAACAAAATTAAAATTGAAGCCAATTTATTTTTGTCACTGTGCAAATGTAATTCCTCTAATCCTTCCTGCCATTTACTTCACTAATATTCCTAGTACACATCCCAGATAACTTACTACTCATATATCCTCAGTTGAAGATACCTGAGAGTTTAGTCTTCTGAAGTGGGTGTACAGGAAATACCCAATATGTTGGAACTATAAATAACATTGATACACTGATCTAAGTATATTTACATATTTTAAATATGTACATATTTGCATAAACACATACTGTTTGTGATAAAACCTTATGGAACAATCATTTTATCTGCAGCTTAACAGATCAGTCTCATCTTAAGACATTAGTCTCATTTAAAAAATTGCTAAAATATTAACAGATGAATGCTTATTACTTAAAAAGATACAGTTACTAATTTCCTTACCAGGGCTAAAGAGGACTATAGCTTTAAGGTATGCATATTCATATCCATCAATATCAAGCTTGGCCATGCTGTTACAGAACTCCTGAAGTTTCCAGATGTGTTCCATGACTTGCTTTATTCTGTCTCCAGAAAGTTTATCTACAAAAAAATATTGCTATTTCATGTGAGCTCAAGTATATCAGCTATATTAACCAATATCCTTTTATAAAACATGTGAAGTGACTTGTGTCATTTGCTATCTTAAAGCTGCTTAAAATATAAAGATGGCCTGAATGATTATGGAAGTGAGGATTAATAAAGCTGAGTCAGACACAGGGCTAGCAAACAGAATGTTAATTCTTTTGCATAATTTTGCCAGCACAGCATAATTTGCAACACCAATCTTATTCCAGGGATGTACTGTTCTGAGCAGAGACTCTTAAATTATGGTGAATTATTCTACAAATGGCTAGAGTGTTTCTGGAAATTAACAGAAGCACAGAACAAATACTATCATGCAATCCTAATTTTAAATTGAAACAGTACTGAGTTAGCTTTTCCAGAAGTGCATGCAAGAGCAGTAATGACAGTGCTACTTTTTCCTCCATCTGTACTTTTAGAAGTGAATTTTTCATTTACTGTGGTAATTAGTCTTTTCCCCTTCTGATAGGGTAAATTCACTCAAATACACATACACAGATTCTTCCATCATTTGAAACACCACATTCCTTTTGTTGGCTTCATATTTTTTTCTTAAAATTTTGATTAAAAAAAAAAAAAAAGGATAAGTTAAAATTGAGTGGTATTAGCTGCTCAGCTAGGGAGAGAGATTTCTATTTTGGTAAATATACCTTCTCTCTGACTGCATATCTACACACTAGGCAAAGAATTAAAACCTTAGAGATTACAGGCAGACAATGTAATTACTATTATCAAACTTCAGAGATAAGTAAATTTAAGAGGGATAAATTTTTTCTTGAGAAACCCATTAGAATAATTTTATTCCAGTCATGACCTCTAACGCTAATATTTCATATCATTATAAAGTAAATATTTTACATTTGTCTGTTATGGCTAACATTGTATATGATTGCTTAGACCCATGTGCCTTAAACTGAATTTTTGATATATTTTATTATTATTTTACATATTTTCTGAAACTGCAATAAAAATATTGAACAAAAGGAACATTTTTGCAGTGCCCTGAAATCAGAATGAAAGCATAATCTACATTTCTAAAATACATGAATTGTGATACAAGTTTTTAATTACTCAAGATAGATCAACATCATCAAACATGATGTTAATGTTTTTATTTCTAGATTAAGTGGAAAATGATGGTGCAGAAATACTCAGGAAAAGTGAACTTCAAGTCCAGATTTTCCAAATAGCCTCATCACTAATGTGCTTCCTAGATAAAAGTTCTGGAATTTATTCACTTTGGTTTGAATTTTATAGTTATAATACACAACATAATATCTATATTATGCTGTATATTCTAACTATAAAATAACTTCGCAGAACAGATAAATAAAATGAATCATCACCATACCATAATAAAACAAATCATCCTCTTTTCTTAACCAGTCTCAGGTAACACGGTATGACTGGAAGTACAGGTTGTAGAACAAATTTATTTTTTTCTGGGACACAGGAAGAGAGGTGGAGCCAGCTTAAGGCTGCAATAGCCCCACCACTTACTCCTCCACAAACTCACTCCCAGGGGTGTAGAGAGAATGGACAGCTCTATTTATTCTGACAGAGATATAATTAAAAGCCTAAATCTGTGTAGAACATAGAATATGCATGTTTCCCTGTCTTTTAAACTCCTGCCCCTCTCTCTGTACAGGAAAGGAGCATCAGTTTGTTGTATTTTAAGCACTCACCAGGCTCTCTCCAATTACCACCCTCTCTCCGTCCCCCCAACAAAAAACCCCACTCAAACCTATATTAATTATGAAAGCCTATTATCCATTTAAAAATAAAATTTCTGTCTAATTTACTTTATCATAATGAAGCTAATAAAGTAATTAAAACAAATGTACTTTACTAGGACTGAAGGATATTAAAACATTTTTTCAGATGATCTACTTTTGTACACTTCATAGTTCTACAATCAAGTTTTACTCTTCTCAGTAAAACCTTTTTTTCAGTTTTTGCTGTATACAATAATGGCACCACAGAAATAATCAAACAAATTGGTACCAAATAGTATTCTGTAACCACTTTTAACTCACATTTAAATTTAAGCTAGCTTTCATGTAATATGCCGTATTTTAAAGCTGCTAGTACTGTTTTTTTCCTCCTATTAAAAAGGGAATGTTATTCTCATGCTAATCAGTCACATTGATTGGGAGAATCCTGAAAGAAAAGAATGAAGGAAAAAAAAAAAAAAAAAAGCAACCATAACAGATTATCATCCATTCTGGATACAGTCATCAACAGGCCAACACTGAATTAAAAAAATAAAATTACATAAATCTTCCTAAAAGTGTCAAGAAAATAAGTAGTTTAATGCTTCAGAGGGTACTTCAAAATACAATAATCATTACTGCATTATAGCAGTATCCAAAACCAATATACTTGCAAGAACATTCTTCTTGTGATACTTGGCAAATGCTATAGTTGTACATTGCAAAGCAGAGAAGAAAAGCTGTGGAAGGAAAAAACATTCTGGTCTGGTTTGAAGGAAAACATTATTATTCTAAAAGGAAAAAAAAAATACATTGATGGGAGGAAATCTCTGTGAGTACACCCAACTTTAAAATGTACTTGTCTTTCTCTATACTGTCAGTCAGATGTAGAATACAGGAGAATACGTCCTCCAGCCTCTTCCCAATTTCTTCTGTGGACACTTCTATCCCAGAGATCTCTGTGAGGTCACAGAATCAAGGTTGGAAAAGACCACTAAGATCATCAAGTCCAACCACCAACCCAACACCACCATGCCCACTAAACCATGTCCTTAAGTGCCACATCTCTTTGGCTTTTAAATACCTCCAGGGATGGTGACTCAACCACTTCCCTGAGCAGCCTGCTCCAATGCTTGATAACCCTTTCAGTAAATAAATTTTTTCTAAATTAAGGTCAGTGCAACAAAAGTTGTAGATCATCCAAGGAAACGTAATTATGCAAGAGAAGGCTTCTCCTTCCACTGGATCCTGGGGAAAAATTATGCCATTGATTAGGAAAGACCTCATGAGAAAGATTATACAAATGTCCCTGTAGTGTTGACAGGACTGAACACATTTAAGAATCACACACTCAAAACATACCTTCCTGTATGCTGTTCTGGAGATGGTTGACAATAGCTGCTAGGATAGTAGACAGACTCATCACCTGTGCACACTGTGCCAGGCCTAAGGTAAACAGCTCATTCCAGCAGGCACGCACAAGGCTTGTATTGCACTCCTGCCTATAAACAACATAAAATAAAAAAAACTGTAGGTAGTTTTCATATCAGGTTGGTGTTACCCTATGTGTAATTAAGTTAATTATAACAATTAATAATAAGGATTAATATACTGCAAACCACTTTACTAAAAGTCATATATTAGCATATTACAAGTATTTCAAAAGCACAAAGAAGTTATAGGCCGACTACAGGAAACCATTTCAGGTTATCTGTAAAATAGTGCTCACCAGTTCTTTACCAAGATATATTTCTACAAATTAAATGCTTGCTTTTGATTCGGCTTTAGCTTCTGTAACCGCAGTAACATCAGATATTGTAGTTATCCCCTCCTCTGCCATCTTCTATTCTATTCTTCAAAAAGGAGAATATTGCATAGTCTCTACACATTGTAAAGAATTAATTAAAAATTAAACAATATCGTCATTTAAAAATTCAAAGTAGCTGAAAAGTGTTCAGATCAGTGCTTAAATTCATTAGAAAGCAAACCACTCAACAGAATATGTCCATTTACCCAAGAGCTTGAAATGCAGGTATGGACCTAGCCCAGTGCATAGAGAGGAAAAGTAGTCGTGATGCTGACTCACAGATGTAGTGTACATTAAGGTACTCTGGCATTGGACTGGGCATTGTCAGCTGCAAAACACAGAATTACAGTACAATATATACAGTTCAGACAAAAACCAATTTTTATTATAGATTGAATAACCAGTCAAAACATTTAAACTACTCTCATAGTCTGTCATAAGCAAGTGCATAACAAGAAATTGTCAAAGGAAAACTGCACTAAATAACTCATTACTACTGGCAAGGAAAGCAAAAGAGGAATAGAAGACAAATTATATGAGAGCGAGCTCAAATGTTTCCTATTAAAATTGTTTAATATTCATTTATGAATAATTAAATCTAGAAATTTAATTGCTCCATGGAGTGTTGGCTGGCATTACAGTGCTATAGAAGATCTCAAAACTTTTTAAAAAGTAGTATAATAAAATCTAAAATCTAAGCACCTAAAATGGGAAAGTCATCTAATAGGAATCTACAATCACAAAACATCATTATGGGAATAAGCAGGTTATGATAAAAATTTGACTACATTAAGTATTACTTATTTCAGTAATGATCTTTGTATTTCTTGAAACAGTGCAATTTGCTTTCAGCAAGATTAACGCCCTTATTGTTTCTCGCACATTGTTTAGCAACATGTGTGTGTTTGCATCCAGTTGAAGCTGAAGCATCTCTAAAATTCAAGGCCTTTTTCAGTGGTCTAACCATAAGCATCTAAGAAAGCACTGTAGCCTGTTTATATTAAGAAGTCTTTTAGATGGAAGTTTTACACTATCTAGAATTATAAATTAGTTAAGCAAGACATCGTATTATATGGATGATATGGAAAGTGATTATCAACAGCACTGGAAAGTGAAATACATTTTAAAATATCCTTCTGTCTATGAAAAGGTCTTATGAAATAACATCTATATTCTTTAGACAGAGCGTGCAAGAGTGAAAATTGTATTAGAAGCTTTGTAACAGCAGATGATGTCCTAGATTGCAGTGCCAAAATTAAATATAAGAATAAAGAAAACACAGTAATTTTGAGTTTTGTCTTAAGTGTTAGTTTGTTTAGTAAGACATTTAAAGAAACACATACCTTAAATGTGACATGGGTATCTGTAAGTAAGGGTCCTTCCACTTCAATAATTGGTGTTGACTGATCTCTACTGATAACATGAATATTCCCTCCTCCTGTAGGATCCATCCCATCAGCCAAGTTAGGAGCTGCTGTACCATCTGTGGTATTAAGTGCTTTAGCCAAAGTATCAAATGCCCTGAAAAAAAAAAAGTAATAAGCAATGAAAAGTGCCTCCTTATACCTTAAAAAACCGCAGAGTAGTAGTCAAATTAAATGCTATAAAGCATTTCCACTTAGAAGTAACATATACAGGAACTGTTTATGCTAAGACACAAGGTCAGACTTTTCATTACAACCTGGCCCCTGTGTACTGTTTGGACATTAATAAAAGGAATAGATCTGCCAATATATCACTAGTAAAAGACTTCCCCTGTAAGGGGGGGAACTTTTTACTACAATATATCCTGCTTTAATAGTTTTATGCTAATATTTGAGCTAATAAATGGGTCTCTTGTGCTTACCATTCACTATTCCCTCCTTCTCACTTTGGAACATTTAACAGATTATGTGAGTATTACAGATTAGATGCATTCTGCAAAACACCCTACAGCCCCTGTTCTTGATGTCCAGTTTCTTGGAACAGTGGAGAATAGCGTGATTCTCTTCTAGACAACATGCCTAAATTTCCTTTCCCTTGAGATGAGATATGGCCAGACACTCCTGATCTCACAGTATAGACAGAGCCTTAGAAAACTTCCGACAGTAACATATGAGACTGGTCCCTGGACTCCTTTATACTCAAGCTGTAGCTGGGCCATTGCCATAATAAGGCAGTGTGAATTCCCTTCTTAATATAACAGAGCTAAGATTTAAAGAAAAAATTTTGCTCCAGTTTCATAGCAGTGGACAGTATTATGGCATAGTGCTGTTTTGCCAGTATTTTTGTCAGGAAGATGTTGCGTTTTTTGGGTGGTTTGTTTTTTTTTTGAGGGGGTGGATTTTTTTTTTTTTTTTTGAAGAGTTTAAATAAAAGACTTAAAGAGCCTGAAGTTAGGTTCCTCTTAAGAATCTTCTACTTGAGAAACAATGGACAGTTTTGAGGCCAAGTATTTTTCTTATTTCACTATACTGCCAATTTATGTTTTCCTTCAATCCATCCATGCACCCCCCCCCAAAAAACCCACATAAAAACCCCACTGAAAAAATCTCAAGCTCTGCTGAAAATTTTAAGTTTCTATGATCCTTTTCCCCTTGTTTCTCATTAATAAAAGCAAAGACTTCAAACTATTTCTAAAGATTAAAAAAAAAAAAGTTTCTTAATCCTAGTTTAGCTACATTACCACTAGGCATTACGGTAGCACAATCTCAAAAATAAATCTGCAGTAATACAGACCTCTAAAGAGCAGGGCTAAGAGCACGAGCACTGTGCAGGAGAAGCTTCCATAGAACAAGCCTATCAAATACAACAGAACCAAAGTGTTGCTATTCTCATAGTCTCTCAAGGTTACAAACTAGTTATTCATTGATTTTCTGAGTATGAAACCTGGTCTAGCTTCAGAACGCTACATTTATAATGCAGGACACACTTTTTCACAAGAGGACAACATCCAAACCCAGATTTCTAAAGAACTGGTTTTGTGTTTCAAAGTAGGCGTCAATCTCTATTTTGTTTGGCATCACAATGCCAAATTACTTCAATGAATGAGTGCAAGTATGTGTCGTACAGAACTCAAATTGCTAAATAAGATGCAAATATAAATGCATACCGTGTAATCTCACTTGCGGACTGCTCTTCTTGTTGAACTTCAGAAGTATCTCCATTATTTAGTGACTCACTGAGATTAGCAAGAGATGTTACAACATTTGCTAGTGTTCCTAAAGCACCCTGGCTTGTTTCAGCCTAAAAAGAAAGAATCATATTAGTAGATTAAAATTATAGGCAATGTATCATACATCAATTTTTCCCCCACTTTCAACCGTGTTCTTTTTCCTGTATGCACCTTTTCTTTCCTCCTGAACACCTACAGGAAGAACAATGGCTCACAATGATCTTTAAAACCTATTGCAATCATCAATCCTAGCCCTGGCTGACATATCATGTAGGGAACTACCTGTGGCTGACCATTTGCAGAAATATGCCCGTGAAAAGAAATCATGTTCCTGTTGATCAGCTTATTACAGATCTTCAGACTTACCCCAACCTTACATTCTCAAGAGCAAGAATTATTTGTGTCTATGTACCTGTCTAAAATAATCTGAACAAACATATATGTTCAGAACTTAACTGAAAGAATAATACCTTGGAGTCAGCAGCTAGGAGGACTGTACCATCATCCCTGATCAAAGGCTGCTGAATATTCACAAGCATTCCTGGATCAAGAAGACCTGCTGACCTGTTCAAAAGCATAAGGCATCTGACAGTCAATAGTATTTTACATTAATCAGAAGAATGTGTAACAACCTGTGTCAGAATGAAAGGGATTACCAGTTTCTAAATGAACAATTTAATGAAGCTCAGAGTTTATTCATCAGGACTTAAGTCTTTCTGAAATAGCTTCCAAAAAGTACCTTGAAAGACAGAAAGACTGGAACATATTTTCCTTTCCTGTGCAAAAGCAATGACAACTTCCCAAGTAGATATCCTCTCATTTGCTTTTTATGCTGGTTTATTATGTCTTAAGGAAAGTTGTTGTCTTCTCATGGTTTCAGAACTCACTTAATAGCTCTAGAGTTATGCATTACTTTGCAGGAAAGCATAACTGTGCATTCCAAGTTAGACAACTGACAGCACTGAAGGAAAAGGTTATGTCGAGTAAACGTATTTTACATTCCAAAATACAGCCATAAACAGTCGTGTAATCAAGGTCTGCATAAAGTCTCTGCTGCCTTTAGTTCTGCAGCTTTTTGACCCAACATCCTTTCCCTTTGCTGTATCTAATTTAGGGAGACAGTGGGAAGTCTTTGCAGTCAGCAAGGATAAGTTTACTTGCTGCTTATACAACACACTAAGTCTGCATAACCCAATACAAATGCACGCATCACAGGTTCAAGCCACAGGGAATTTATAGTTCAAGGAGTCTAAGGCTAATAATTAACATTGTGAACTACCACAGGCAGCAAATTATCATGTGTTATGTAAATCTGAATCTTACATAAAGTCTCACTGAATGACTATAATATTGGTTATAGGACTGTAAGGGATCTGTAGCACAAGGAAATCTCAAAGAAGCAAACAATTCTCAAGGAAATTTGCAGCCCAGTCTTCCTAACTGCAGTGTAATTTGGAAGAATATATATATATATATATGAA